ACAAGGAGTTGATACACCTCTGGCCCTGAGCTGATTATGTAAACCAGTTTGTTCGCAACAACAAAGGTTCGCAGGTTCAACAATAATCCAACAATTTGCCCAACTCCCACCATGACAAGCTGAAATTGAACAAGAAAACAACTAAGCCTGGTTTTCACTATAGGACATAACTTTAGTTATAAGCCGAGAAAGGGAAAGACAAAGGAATGAAGTCAAGCGTACGACATAAGACCGAAATAAGCATAGCAATAAGCAGAAGACCAAGAATAAACTAATTAAACAAATAGAACAAACAAAGGAAAACACCATCTTCATCTCTTCTAATCCCKTTTGCTTATAGCAGCGAAAACCAGACCGTAGTTGTTACGATCAATGAAATCAATATAAATCAGCTAATCAGCCAGAGAGTTCAAAAATCTAATTATTAAGATAAAATAAAAATCATACGTTATTATTCACGAAAATCTTGATATGGATGTTTAATAGACTTTTCCCGAATTCGCCTGGCAGTTTCGCCTGGCAATTTCCTAGTTGTATCATATCTTCCGAGAGCTGAAATCGAATCACACCCAAAATGGCACCTAAAACAATAGAATTCTGCCCTATGGATTATTACACGCATTACCTGATAGACGATGATGCCACCGACAACAACAGTGGAGAGGATTGCAACAGAATACTTGAAATCTAGAAAACATTCAGATACAGTCAACTTTCTCGTAAGCGACCATCTCGGGATCAAGAAAAAGTGGTCGAGAGTTTATATGGGAAACTGAACAAAACGGGAAATTTAAAAGGTGGTCGCTTATGGGAGAGATGGTCGTTTACTAGAGTGGTCGTTCAAAGAGAGTTAACGGTATATAAATTAAGTGGTGGGAACTAGCGTTAAACTAGTATATATAATTAAAATATATAGATTAAGGCCCAGTCCACGCATCGAAGTCAAAGTCGTGCATTTCCAGGGTCGGCGCCACATTTTCGAAGTGTGGAGATCGAAAAAAGCAGTGCTGTTTGAAAAATACTGCCTTCTACCATAGTTATACACAGGGGAATGGTTTGGAAACCTTTTTGTTGTACATCTTTTTATTTGTATTTATGAGGTTGAATCAGTCAAGACCGTGCGCAACTTTCTTCTTACGGAAGATGGAAATTTGCAAAATGAGTGAACATAATCAATCTCTATGAAAATAAGAAAAGAAATATTTAAATATTGGTTTTGTGCATTTTGAAGAAATAGTCAAAAGAATAATTTTCACTTTGTTTATTTAGATGTGACCAGTAAGTATGGCTAAAACAATAGTTAAACAAGAGATTGTGCACGGTAACGTTTGGAAAAAAGTGCACAAAAACCTACCACAAAAGGCTTCCTAACCATTTCCCTATACAAACTATGGCCCTGTTTACATGAGATAGGGTGCCCCTTCGTGGTAAAAGATAAAGAAGGTCTACTTTGCTTGAGTCGCACTTTTTCGGTCTGTCACATTAAACTAGCCAATGAATTAATGGACCAACAAACTAGCATAGACTAGTCGAAGCTCTGTACTTACGAGGTTCAGGTGTATAAACAAAGTTACGACCTTTGACGTACCACTTTTGATTGCCTCTGTTGGGATATTCATGATAACAATTCCTTGATTAAATGATACTCTAGGTGCATTTGATGTAAATATAGGGAACTTACCATTTTTCAGAACCGACAGGCCAGACCCAAAAAGAATTCTCTTATTAATCGAAAGACTTGGTATCAACAGAAGAAACACATTTGTCTTACCAACAAAAACAACTTGGAAATAAAAAATGATAACTTTTGGTAAAAGTAATTATTTACTTCTCATTAGACCTAGACTTAATTGTTCTCTYGCTTTTCTCTGCACCGTCGTTTTCCGCAACTTCGCACGGGGAATTTCGTGGTCACTTTATAGTAAAGAACGAGAGAGATTTGATGCAAGTCTGATATATATCTGTCTGTCCGGTCAGCTCTGTCTGTGTGGAAACCTCCTTTAATCACTCACATTTTAGGTCCACCCTGTAGAAGCGTCTTAACGTGATTCACGTAGTGATGGCCAACTTGAAAGTTACAATYATCCTGATAACAAACAAGAGAACCTAGCTAGGAAAGGGTAGCAACGAGGTATATGGGGTCAGGCAACACATTTCCGCCATATTTTAGCCTAATGGATCATATTTTTAGATCAAGGATTGGGATCAAAACCTACCCTAATACCTCGTTACTATATCCTCTAGCTAGTGAAATGATCTATACATGTGAAGCGCCTGTGAACTCAGAGGATATCGGCGCTATATAAATACCACAAATTATAATTATTATATTATTATATTATTAGTAATACTGTATGAAGGCATAGACAGAAAAAGAAAGATATGCTGGAAGTTTTATTTTTTCACCACACGCCCTGTAGTCTCCTTCACGGTTCCCTCCGCCATCTTCAAATTTAACCGTGCCTTTTCATCAACGCGGGACGAACGGTGAGCGTTTACACCTTTAGGCAATTATCACATCTTGCTTCGATGCAAAGATACCATTACATTTTGAGATGTCGCAGGCAAACGCGGAGAAAAAGACTGTTAATTGCATGCAGAATATCAGCCATGYTTTCCTTATTGGATCGAGATATCAATTGTACCAAATACAGGAAAATGGTGTAAGTTATTCATCTCAATTTGCTTTCCATTTCAACACAAAATAAAAACTACAAAAACAAAAACTTTTTAAAAAGTAATTACAGAATGACGGTATGAGGTCAAATGGGATCAAGAAAGCAAGTTTTGCAAGTTATAAGGGAAATTGAAAAGAGGAAAGAAAAAGGGAAAAGACACGAAGCAAAGGAGAGAGATAAAGCAATTATTAAAATGAAAGACATACCCCTATTAAATCTCGACACACAAACTTCTTCTTGTAGCACTTGTCCTTGACTTCAAAYACAAAGATCACCACATAACGTACAAAAAGAGCCAAGTGACACAAGATTGCTGGTGAAATTGCCAATGTTGGCCAATAAATAAATATCTGAAAGRMARAAATRAATTTGMYTTTGGCAWRTGG